AAAAATGTTTCGATTACATCTTTAACTTCTATTTAATTAACTTAACTAACAGTAAATAGTCTTTATTTTTGTAAGACTATTTATCAAAATCTTCTCCAGAGTTCATATTAATCTTTACTATTAATCAAATCTGAAATGTTTATAAAGTAAATCATTAAGGAGTGATTACATAATTATAATATAATTTCATATTTTTTGGATGGTTACATAATACTTCCATTAAATTCTAATCTATTTCATTAATTTACATTGTTATTACTTATAATAGAATATTCAATAAGAGTATTCAACAAGAGTTATTTCTCATGAAACTGATTGAAACTTTTCATATTAATGTTCATACAGTTTATCTATATACATAAGTAATGAATTCGGTTTATGACTGAAGGAGAGGTTAAAGGTCAACTAATAATTTAAGTGTAATTAGAGAATAATTACGTTGTAGTTAATTATGTTTAATTAATCTCTATAAGCTAACAATACAGTTATAATACTTTGTAATAGATGCATTAAGTGATTCATTTTACTGGATTTAAGTATTGATCATTAAACGTAATCAAATCATACTAAATATTATGATAAACTGTGATCATATTGAGCTTTTTAGTTCAGGTAGATCAAATGATTAAATATTGTAATATGGATGTAAATGTACTGATAAACTTATCCTATACTTGCCAATATGTGGTTATGAAGATTGTTGAATGTCATTGAAATCATGAACCGATCTACGTTAGAGCACTACTGAAAACGTGGAAACACCAGATAACTATTTCATCCTAATATGAGTTTCTGATTTCAATTATCATATATTTGTTTTCCTTGTATACATACTAGGTTTTTACATTTTTCTTAAAATACCAGAGACATCTTTTCATGAGAGTCATTTATGATGAAATATGTCTCCTTTATTTATTATTTAACATTTACTATTATATATATTGTACTATGTTATTAACATAATATACCTAACTAGTCTTAAGGATAAATCACTTTCATTGTTAAATAAACAACATTATCCCCCTTTTATCCATTTATATAATAACTGAGTTGTTAGTTAGGCGTATACATCTGTCCATGCATGCACACTTTTAATTTTGCTGATTTTAACATACAGTGTTATTGTTTTGCATGAGATCATCAACAGTGTGTAATAAACATATTTATTGATTCGTTAAATGTTATCGCACTAGTTTTAACTAATGCATGTGTATGTGATCCACCTTTTATTGTTTAATGTTTACAAAAATTAATACGAATGCATAGTGTATTTGCTTTGATTTCATGCATGTCTATTGTCTAACCTTCTCACCCCTTCTCTCTTGGTTCTGCACAAATGCAATAACAAAACGTTGCTGGTTTACAACCATGGATTCTTGCATGCAACATTTTATGTTTGTTAATTACGATTTGTTTTTATGCGGGTGGTACATCATTAAATTTATTTTCACTTGGTTGGTTGGTATGGCGGCAAAACTCGTGTTTTATCTCACTGGTTGAGAATGGATTTTAGCAACAGAAAAAACGACTTGTATCAAAATCATATCATCTTCATAAACGCAGGTCAGATTTTGATTCTTGCATCAATATTGCACCAAATGTCAACGGACAAACATCTACTACTGCTGCTAGATACCATTCAGACAAAACTAAAAATAATAGATTTCATGATGAGATTGTACGGTTCAATGATGATGAAAATGATGATACTGATATTGAGGAAAATGAAATTTCACGCGTAACGCGTAGATATCGCAATACAGTTAATATTCTTAAATGTGTCCGTTACACTGGAACATTCCTATCATTGATATATTTACTTGTAAAGCTCTTTTATTTGTGTAATTCAGTTGGCCAATTATTTTTAATGCAATACTTCCTCGGTTTTACAAACTATAATTCTAGTTTATTTGGCATGAGTATTTTATATAATATACTACATGGTCAAGATTGGCGATCAACCTTAATATTTCCACGTGTAGCTTATTGTTATGCACCAGTAAAACACTTGGGTACAAAAGTTAACACTGCTACAGCTCAGTGTGTCTTACCGGTAAATATGTTAAACGAAAAAATTTACATATTTCTCTGGTGGTGGATTCTATTAGTTTGTGTGGTGAATTTTCACAGTCTACTTCGATGGTGTTTACAATTCGCCTGCCAAAATCGTGGCTGTCAGTTTGTGATAAACTACATTAAATTGTCGAATGTTTTAACTTCATCCGAATTATATTTTGCTGAGAAATTCGCACGTACATTCTTACGACGTGATGGAATGTTCCTGCTACGCATGCTTGCATTGAATGCTGGTGAAATGGTCACGTCTGATATTGTCAATGAAATGTGGTTGAATTACCGTAGAATTGTCATTGAGCCGGTGGTTGAAAATCATAAACATCATAGTCAGAGAATAAATCCTAATGAATCTAGTTTGGATAGAGGGTCAAAAACTGATTCTTCAACTATAACAAATGAAAATGGATACTTGGGTACATCTGAGTCATCAGCACTAAAGAATAATAAACAGGATAATGAGAAAGCGAGTATTGAGCTGATAGATCTACCTGGAAGATAGTCCTATGTTTAAATAATGTTTCTTTATGTATGCATGTGTTGGTTTTTGGGTTTTTAGTTTCTCAATTTAATTTCGAATAAATGATATGATTGAGAGAAACCAAACTACCGGTGACTTGAGAATGTTTAAGACCAAAACGCTTCTAATTTTTCAGATTTTCCTTTCAGTTTGTGCCTTCTTTTTCGTTAAATGCATTTTTCATTTCCATCGTCCATAACAAGACGATGACTAAGATTATAATAATATTAATTTTTTGAGACTTATTGACGTGCATCATGCTGACGATGTCATTATTACTACTAAGATTGTTATAAGTAGCCATTTTTGTCAAATAAAAATATAGAATACAATGGATTTTTTCATACTATAATGAAAAAATAACAAATCAGATTTACTTACTTTTCTTTATTGTCTTAAGAGAGAGGGACTTTCACATCAATGCGTTTGTTGAACATTTGATAACATTGCACTTTCAGTTTGACAATATGATGTATACATGCACTTAAAGTCATTCTTTTTGGTAATTTAAACTAGTTAGTGATAATTCATGTTGTTTTACGATATATCTGGGGATGAATCAATTGGTAACAAGTGTAAATTTTTGGCTTTTGCATGTTGGTGAACTAGTCAACATCATTCATTTTTATTAAGTGAAATAAATGTTTTGCTTGAGGACGAAAATGTATCTTCACTTCATAAAACTAACTTCTCGACCACTTTTTATGTAATTCACAATGGTCATAAATGCTATGGTATAAGGCTATTATTCACCAACTTATGTTTATCACTTAAACCAGTATGAAATAAGATATTTACACAATGGTGATCTTAATTAGAGACTTCATAAAATCGCGAATTAATTGAAGTCCGAACACATGGACAGCTAGATATCTCTACGGTGGGTTAGCAGTATTAGGCTCACCAAAGCTACTTGGTGTTTCTTGGTTTGAACATACAGATGACTATGGACACGAAAGAGTACCAAGATCTTTGGTTTAAATGGATCAGTTGTTGACGGAAATCGCTTTCAGAATACACAAAACCACATTAAGCAAACTTATTTATGAGTTGGTTTAGTACTGTACGTTTAAGTGTCCCGGGCTTGTTAACAACCAGGTATAACTTTCACATATTCCACTATAACAATCATCTTCATAAATCAAAGAGATAAATCGTATATACACAGCATTTTTCATCTGTCTATACCTCATGTGCACTAGTTCATTCAATATTATGATTACTCAAGCTATTGTTTGAAAAAAATGTATCAAACAAAACACTAACATAATGCCACTTCGTTGGTAGGCTATTAATATATCTGAAAGGGTACTATAAACATACAGAATTAGTTTACTTGTAGTCTTCTCTCATACACATGCAACCCACGAAATAGACGCTATAGTGACTAAACCTATGCATATCAACCAATGAAATTATCAGTTCGCCGTATTCAGTCGAAACTTAGAACAGCAATTGTTATTCAGATTACAATTCCGAGCTCTGGATTTTTCAACAAACCATTTGCATATTGGGAGGGTCTACTTATCAACGACAACAGAAAATGGGTCGTTTTGTACTATTGATTTACTAATCCATTAGAAAATCGAGTGTTAGGGAATTCCGTTACGTGGATATTTACTATTGAGAATGTTTTATGATCTAGCGTATAAACCTAGCCATACCTTCATACAAAACTCAGGCTCAGCTGACAGTGAATCAGTAATCAATTTGGAAAATGTTACTTTTAGATATACAAACTGAAAAAGTTACATTAAACCACTGTGTAGTACGACTACTTTTTAATTAATAAGGTGTAACCATTCGAATAATAGGTTGTATTAATCATAAGTGCATTAAATTTTCTCCGCTTATAGATTCCATTACTATTCATTTTTAGATGATGATAGTTAATAATGAAAACAATGAGAAAATTTTTGTCTTGTCTGAAGCGTTCCAGTTGAAATTATCATGGTTTCAATAATTTTTTTTGACTTAAGTCTACTGTTTACTACTCCAATATATCGAATGTATTATGGTGGCTCGCTTTCTATGATAATATACTAGACATAATTCACATGATTAAACTGATAATTTTAGTCATAGAATCAGTCATATACAAAAAACAAAACAACTAACCGACTGACTGAGTGCAATAATATGTACCATGCTGAACAAAATATACAATCAAATTAGAATAAAAATGACTTATTTGTCAGTTAACCAGCCGATAGTAGATGATGAAATGAAGGTCGCAAAGTAACCACTGGTTATTTGACTTTATCAATCATAACGAAATGCTTGATATTACACGAATATTCAGTGAAATATCCCTTATTTTGCATTACATTTAACCCTAAAAATTTTATGTATTCATTTTTTTGCAAACATAAATTTCATCTAGGATTTTTCTGTTTTCTTTATTTAGCAACGTGAATACCATCATGGATTATGGCCTCGAGTACGTCGTCGAATGAAAAAATGGGGTTATTTATTCTTCATAAGTAAACGTCTTGGGACACGATTATTTGGAATTTATTTATTCATTAAATGTCTTTATTTATTAAATGCAATCGGACAAATATTTATGATGCAATCATTTCTTGGTTTAAAATCAAATTATACATTATTTGGTATAACTATATCTAGAAATATTTTAGCTGGTCTCGATTGGGAAGTGACAATGATTTTTCCACGTGTTGGATTTTGTTTAGTTCCTTTAAAGCATTTTGGATCTAATAATTATGCAACAGCACAATGTGTTCTACCAGTAAATATGCTTAATGAACGTATTTATATGTTTCTATGGTTTTGGATTGTTCTCACTGCAACAATTACAGCTATCAGTATACCAGCGTGGTTTACACGTATGAGTTATGAAAAATCACGTACACGTTTTATAAAAAAATATTTAAAACTTGGTGAACAAGTTAGTAGGAAAGATAGATATATGGTAGAAAAATTTACCGTATTATTTTTACGTAATGATGGTGTTTTTCTACTGCGTATGATTGCTATCAATGCCGGTGAATTGATTTGTTCTGAAATAGTTTGTCAATTATGGCATATATTTCGTGAAAAATATTTTTATCGTGATTTAACACGCTGTAAACGTGGTTGCGATGAAATGCATCATTTAGGCTTGAGATTATCTCGTGGTATTGTCAATTTAAAAGAAAGATATTCCAAAGAAAATAAACAAATTAAATTAGAAGCTACAGCTTCAGCACCTCCACTTACTGATGCACCTCTTGGAACAGATGAAGACGAAGGTGGTTACGCGGATGATGATGAAGATGAACAGAAAGATGTAAAAAAACACTATAGCAAAAAATATTCATGGGAACAAAAAGAGTCCGTTTAACTATATTATTGTTAACACATATATCGTCACCTGTAAACAGTCATAAAAGTTGCTTTGAGATGTACAGATTACATATTCAGCTCATTTTTTTTATAAACATTTTTTAATGAAAAATATTTATTATTATTTTTTTGTTACATTTGCTATTTATTAGTGAACTTATTGAAGATATCTAATGAGTTATCTTTAGTTTACTCTCCTTTTTTCTTGTGTTCATCCAAGAAAACAATTTCCCCTTATTGTGCAGTTAACCTTCTCATTGATTATGTTTTCTTCTTTTTTTTAATTGATCGAGAGTTTATGCATTTACGTAAATCATTTGTAATTAAATTATTCATCGTTATACTTTAGATATCGGTATTATTATTGACTAATAAAGGTTCTCTATGAAGAAATACATAGAGAATATTATGTAAGCGATGGTCTTGGTTATGTGCCGATCACTAAGTAATCGCAAAATTTATCATGCCCTAAATGAAATCCATTAAAGCTTACTAAAGAATTTTTTCTGATCGATCTGTGATAAGGGAAATAAGTATATAATCAAAAAGAAGCTGATGAATAATTTATCACAGTATGACATTGACTAACTTTCTAAACTGATCTGGGATTGTATTCATGTACTTGAATAAAAGGAATGAAAATGTCTGTAGCATACAAACAAATGTAATTTGAACTTGATAAATTTTCAAACCTTATGTGAATTAATTGATATAATTTATTCCATTCGTGTCGAAATACAATAGTAAAGGAAATTTATTCTTTGAATTTCTTCCACTTAGTATTAATTGACGAAAAGAGATCATAGATGAGGAGGGTGTCAGTAGTAAGCAAACTACGATTAACACAGACGCTGAATTGAAGGTAAATTATCCATCATAAATAAACTCTAGATAGATGGCTATAATGGTAGATTAACCTCTCTGAAAAATAATTTATCTAACTTCTAATAACTTTATAGTTGAACATTATTCAAACACAATCTGTACAGTATATTAATTGAGAAATTAATTTCAAACTTTGGACTAAGAAATCAGGATATCATAATTATTTGTCTCACGGAAACTTTAATGATACTTCTCTCAAAATAATATTGAGTTATTAATATCCTTGTTGTTTTGAGTTGCTGCAAAATATGGTCACTTCAATCGGTACAGTACTGTACTACGTTCATTACATTTATGGTTATCTGTATGTATAAATGCTGAAATGATTTCAACTGGTTCATGCTATTAATTTTAGATGGTAGTTCTGAAATTTAAGACTAAAGATTTATCTTAAATATAGTCCGATAATGCTATTTAAGCTTTTCAAACATAAAAGAAAAAAAATTAATTGAAAAGTACGCCTTTGAAAAATATTGTCAAACAATTTGTCGGACCAAGATTGACCAGTTAAATGGGTTATTCATGTATCTTACTGAAATAATGAAACTTATTGACCAAGTACAAGCTAGTGAACCTCACTCTGAGTACACGTTATGCGTGAAACCAAGCGATACTACCTATGTGTTTAAACTAAAGTTCAAATGAAACAATTATTATACGTTGAATTCAGGAGCTTCGTTCGGACGATGAAGTCGCAGAGTAAAATTAAGTACGAAAATTACGAGCAGTTCACAGTACAACTCAGAATATTAACTCATGTGTACACATCAATTCAACTTACGAAGAGACTATGATACGAGGTCTATCGCTAAACAGCTGTAAAAAATCAAAGAAAAACTACTGTATATAACTCATTATATGTGAAAATTATATTTGAAATAATCTTAGCGATTGAAATTTGAATAATTCCAACGTTTCGTCCAGCCAACTTGTCTGGACTTCTTCAGGGTAATAATCGAAATCATCAAAGAAATATATAGCTTTTTAACAATCATAACTATACTGTGTTACACCAATCAAATTTGGATGTTGATTTTTGTAAAATAGGATAAAATGAGTCAGTTAACTACAATTCATGTGAGAAATTCAACTACATGGAAATAATTAACTGAATAACAAATTGTTTGTGTGTGAGTGTGTAGGTATGTATGTATGTGTGAGATTAATTATTGATGTTCTGTGTTGATATGTTATATATGAAGGAATAAATAAATAAAAGTTCAAGTTCAAGGTTGATAAAATTGTTAAAGAATCATCGTTGTACATGTCAAACAAATACCTAAATTGTATAGCTAAAAACTCATTGAAATCAGTCAAAAATGACAATACATGTGAAATAAACAGGTTGAATAAAGATAGGGTTCAAATTACTTGTTATAACGAAATTTTTTCCAGGTAGTCGCCAGTTGAATACCATCTTTTCGGTTCAGGCTGTTCTTGTTTGCCCATATATACAGCACTTCTGCTGTCAATCTTTCTGAAGTATTTTGGTCCCTTCAAAATTAATCTTGTGTCCTGTTTCTAATGCATGTAACGCTATCGCAGACTTATTCTCAAGTTTCTTCAAATCAAACGAGGATTTGGGAACATTTTTCAAACATTGTTTGTGTTCCTTCAAACTTATATTCAATGGTCTGGATGTTTCTCCAACATAGGCTGCTTTACAATCATGACAGTTGATCTAACATACAATATTCTGTTGTTCTTCCCTTGGTAACCTGTCCCTAACTTTCACTAACGTCGATCTTAAGGTGTTACTCGCCCTAAAATACACTCTTATATCATGTTTGTTTAGAATCCGCTTGATTTCTTATGATGTTTCACTACGGTATGGTATGACTACTGTGTACTTTCATACTTTTCGTACACATTCAAGTTTAGTTTTTCTTTCATTTTTAATAATCTTCTTCAAAAACTCTTTTCGGTAGTTGTTATCCCTAAGAGTAGAAAATACGTTATTTAATTCAGTCCGTTGGTCTTCCTTATCTGTAACAAGCTTAGTACTTCTGTTCATTAATTTTTTTACAACATTAATTCTGGTGCACTGTGCATGGGCTGAATCAAAATCTAAGTATCTCTCGGAATTTGTTGGTTTCCTGTAAACATTTATTTTCAACTTATTATTATTGTGTGTACCTTCAACTAAACAGTCTAGAAATGCTAGTTTGTGGTCAGCTGATTCTAATTCCTTCGTTAGCTTATTGCTTTCTGAAATGCTGTTTACATTGTTGAATAGTTCTTCCAAACCATCCCGTTTATTGACAATAAAAACATCGTCTACATACCGTAACCATAACTTTGGTGGACATACACTTCTTGCGATTGCACTAGTTTCTAGAGAATGCATGAATAAATTCGCCACAATCGGAGAAACCGGTGAGCCCATTGCTATACCCTCTTTCTGTCTGTAAAGGTGACCTCGAAATCTGAATAAGGTAGATCTTATACATAATTCTAAGCATTTGATAGCCTCAGGTGGATCTAATGGGCAACGTAAATTCAAATCTAAGTCAGATTCTAAACAATCATTGATAATATCCAAAGCTCGATTGATAGGTACATTAGTGAATAAGGAAGATACATCAAAAGTTGCCATTATTTTATCCTCTTCTATATTGATGGTATCAATCAAGTTCTTGAATTCCATAGTTTTTAATTCCATGATTAATCAGTTTTTCATATGGTTTGAGTATCTTAGTTAAATATTTAGCATGGCGCCCTATTTCTGTCAAACTATTCGTTCTAATCTTGACAAATATTCGTATAAATACTGTACATAACATTATTCTGCATAACTGGTAATCAACGATTTTGATATGAAAACTGTGTCCTCTATTTTACTGGACAACAGTTATTTAATTCATGTTAACACTTAGCGTAATTAGACTGGGAATTACCAAACACTTTATCAAGGTTAGAAAAACAATGTTAGTCTATAATCTGCACAAGTAAATTCAATATTAGAGATATCCTAAAGAAATAGAGCAGCGGTCTCCAACCAGTAGTCGTACATCTTATAAATCTTGCTAAATCCTAAATTATGTAATCTGTCTTTCATCGAGTTTAGGCTGCTAAATAAATAACTTTTTCTAATTTATCAAACTGACTAATTAAATCAATTTACAAGTCGGTAAAAGTATCCATTAATTCAAGCTTATTATTTTCTTAACAATAAGACTGAAAAAAAATAAAACGATTAAGGAATTTCAAAGGAACCCGAAATTCATCTTCGACCAACTGAACTAAACAACAATAAATTCATTCTAATCCTTTAAACTGAACCTATTCTTCGTTAACAATTACAAAACTGAAAATGATATATAATGATTTTCAACACTACTCTTAACAAATTAATTTTTGAAAGTAGGTTTCATTACACCTTATATGATTAGGGTTACAGCTGAAACTCTTTCAAAAAAAGCTTCTTTGGTTTATGGTGGGTTTTCTTCGAAATAATTCCTGTACTTTTTGTATCGTTCGTCATATAATTCCGCATGGTGCACAAATTTTAGGAGACAAAACAAAGCGATAATTACAGTTTACTATTATACAGTGCAGATAACAAAGTCATAAACACACGAAAAAAATATGAACAGAAATGCGAATGGAAATGACTGAATGAATGGCATTTAAGAATCACATATATGTAAGCAGACGAATGAATCATCTGAACGTATAAGTAACTAACGTTTATACTAGTAAGAGGAATATATATGTGTACATTGCAATAGGTGATCAAGCATACATGGTCATAGAAACATGAAGACAATAATACAAAGATATAAGCAAACTATTACTGACACAGGTGACACTATTGAATAACCCATAGGACTTGATAAGTTTAGGCGTGTGTGAACTGGAGTATAGGTAACAGTACTGTAAGCTACGCATTTTTCTACATAATACATTTAAACATAAATAATGCACGACAGTATTAAATATACCACAAGGAAATTACGATTTATATACGAAGACGTTTATATTCTAATCGACCTGCTTGCTAGTGTTATTTTAATGAATAACTTGAAAGATTAGTCATAAGTTCATCCGAAACCTTTTGTCATACACTCACTCATCATAAGAAGTGGTTACCTTTTCATGACCAATAATATAACTATGATCCTCTCATGGTATTTTATCTGCATTGTTACGTTTGATTTTTTTGGCAGGATTTCATTAATTTACTTGGATAAAGTTTTAAAACAATACTATTATCTTTACTCACATTTTCTTTTTGGTGTCTGATATCCGGATAATTTTTCTTGTTCTTGAAACATTAAAAAGGTGACATCACTAGGATAGACATATACTTTCATTACTTCTTACATTTTTAAAAGTTCCACTTTGAATTTCCTATCACCACTCCAAATTTTGTCTTGTTTACAAAGTCTCATATGTTTTATGTAATCTGTTAAGTTAGTTTATACTTCATGAATGTCTCGATGAAAAAAATTTACTAACTAAACTTATGTGTGAATTACTTCTAACAATATTTTCTGAATACATGTGACAGCTGTGCAACCACGTTCAAAATCACATCAAGATAATCAATATTATTTTGAACTATCTTAATTCCAT